TACACCTAGACCAGTGCCTCCAAGCTCTAGCAGCCAGGGATGCTGACAGAATATCTCGCTTCCATCTTCAAAGAAAGGAAGTGATTAGTATGTTATCATTACCATTCAAAACGTGACTTCCTTATTCCCTCCCGGCATAGGTGACACATCTGAGATGCGGCCAGACGTTGGAGGCAGCTAAAGCCACATCAAAGCTTTCCTTGAAAATTTTTTTTGGGGGGAGGGGTGGGGGAAGGGGGGGGTAAGAATCATTAAAACAATGCATTTAGAACAGAGAGATAGGACCTGATGTGAAGGTCAGGAAAGCTGCAACAACAGTCTATAATAATTAATAGAGACATCTAATATACAGTGGAGAAATTAAGAAAAACTGCCCCTCCCTCTGCAAAAAAAAAAAAAATCCTAAACTAAATAAATAAAAGGGAGGAAGGAAGGAAGGAAGGAAGGAAGGACAGCTTACATTATGGAACCGCAAAATCACTAAAGGCTGTAATTGAGAAAAAGAAAGGCATGGGGAGCTCTGTGTGTTTGGCATTAATGACTATTTTTAAATAAAATTAAACATTTCACTTGGCTTGTCAAAATAGCTTTCTCACTCCTAGTTCTCACTACATGCAGGTTTGGGGGAACAGGATTACTCTTCCCTTTTTGAAGATTGCTTTCTCCCTTAACAAAGGACAATTTCAAGTTGGTGATTCCGTAAGAAGATAGCCGATTTGTGAAATGGAGAGTAATCTGAATTTTAATCCAGAATAACAAAACAAAGATTTTTAGTTCATTTTGCTATTGGATGAAATCCCTAAATTAAAAGAAAACATTTAGCTACCGTAGATTTTTTAAAAGTCCAAGATCAATACTGGGAATTGACAGTCTAATTAGATGATTATATATAATGTAGGAAACAAAGCATTTAAATGTGGAATGATTTTTGGGATTCCATAAAAGGGAGCTAAATTAGATTATCCATGTTTGGCTATGGTGGGGAGTGAATTTCTAAAAGACCTTTTTTTAAAAAAAAAAAAAAAAAAAGAATATTCCTAAACAATAGAAGTCAGTGCTCTCCGGGACAGTTCTGTTTTATCAGATTAAATGTGCACACAGAGGACGCTCAGTTTACCCGCAGCTCTCCAGCAGGACCTCACTTTGTATTTTGGAGCCCCTTCACTTAAGTCAAGCTAAAAACAAGTTCTTGTAACAGCTGTGCTATTTACATTGTTCCCTTGGCTGTGCTTTGCCCTGGTCTCTGAAAATGAAAGGAAATACACTACAGTAGCAGCTGATGCTTTCAACTTGCCCCCCACACTCCATCCCAAACTCATTCTCTCACCCGCTTCTCAGCCCTTTTCAAAGCAGGTAAGTAAAGCTGTGCAGGAGCTCAGATGGAGCTTAACTTGCGTAAGGAGCTGTGCAATGCGGAGGGCTGGAGATGCACATTGAAACGGACAGCCAGGCACCGCCAACGCCAGGTCAGCTCCCCGTGCACCACCAGCCTGCCTCCAAGCACGCCCAGTCTACAGAACTGAGCCAGAAAAGAGCATCACAAAGAAGGGATGGGGGCATACTTTGTTTCTAAACACAACAAAACGTCCTATTTTGGAGGAGAGGAGTGCCTGTTTTCTTAGGACAGGTACAAGAAAGAAATCTGGGGTACACTCAGTTTGTTTCCTATTAGAATCCTGGCTGAGAAACAATCACTTCTGAGCAAACCATGTACCAATGCACTGTCATCACCATCATCTCTATAAACATCAATGCTACATCCACTTGAAAGATTGCTGAAAGACTATTTCAGAGTATATTATTCTTTTAGTTGGGTGATATAATTCTTCCAAGTACAATTCATTACAGGTTACAGTAACGAATGCAGGTTTGGAAACATGCATTCCAGAAGCATAACTGATGAAATTGTTGCTAAAGGCAGCATAAAAAAAGTTAGGCCATAAAATAATGATAAAACATATTTTGAAAGAAATGCAGACTTTATGTTTGCAGCTTTTAAAATTAAGATTGCTAAATCCATACAATTCAGCTTAACAACAACAAAATGTCTTCTGTCAAAAGTGTCAATTGTAATGAGGCACACATTTTTATTAATTATATTCATTGCCAAAGTCAGGGGTCAGAGCTTCATGTAGTTTCCTCATAGAGAAGTCTTTAAAATCTGTTATTAGTTCCAATAATATTTGAAAATTCAGATTCTCCACCTAAGCATGAACATATGCAAATATATACAAGCAGATATTGTGTCTTGCAAAAAAAGAAAAAGAAAAAACCATGGATGCATCATCCCCCTCAGGAATAATCTTATATATCAGAACTGCAATTGATTATAGAAATTTAGTGTATACATCTGCTTCAATGTGGAGAAGATCAACCAACCAACCAACCAACCAACCAACAAAAAAAGGTTAGAGGGTATGGGTTTTGTGTATTTTCAGCTTTTATTTTACATATCATTATTACTTTTTCTAAGACAAGATATCATTTATGCATTTTCAGTTAAAAAATCTGTTGAAGACCACTATCTACAAGCCTCTAAATTAGCATTTGTATCCTCTGGAGAATGATGACAAACCAATAAAAAACTTCTACAAAAATCTCAATCAACGCAGTCCATCTAAATTCAGAAATAATTCACAGTACTCTGATTATTATAAGCAGCGGGGCAATTTTTAAATTGCAACATGAGCCACTATTTTATGTCCTGATGTAAAAGCAACAAAACTGCACTAAGTAAAAAAATGAAACTGCTCTGTCTCTGCAAAGAGTACCAAAGCATATTTGATAAGTTTGGCCTAATTTAAAAAAAAATACAGAATCAGTCACAATTTCTCACTGATATGGGGATAAATTTATAACATTGCTATAAATATTTGCTGGGCCACAGAAATGTCTGAGGCTGCATTATGAAACAGGCTAGCAAACTCAGAAAAATGAGAACTCACTTGGGTGCTATTTCCCACAAAAGGGAAAGTCTCTAACAATGACGAGAGCTGTGGCTGTTCTTAGGTGTCGGTGCACACGGACTAGTGGGGCATTCACAGCCTACGTGTTTCCCCAACAGGATAATAGATTCCTGGTATCTTATGTTGCATTTTGGGTGAGGGAAAGAAGTTTATTGAAAAACAGTTTTCATTAAAGTGAATCAGATTGTCAGAAAAAAAATTATTCATATTGACTTCTTTGTGAAACTAACACAAATAAAACAAGTCTGAAGTTAGTTTACATTAAAATGTTACTTTTCATGATAGTTTTAAGATATTCCTTTGTTTTTCCTCCTTTTTGGGTCTTTAAAATATGAATTTTCCACCTGATGCCAACAAATAACAATGATCACTGAAACAGGCATGATTTGGATATGCTTGTTTTTTAAAGATAATCAACAAAGAATATATCTAGCAATATAATCAATAATTTTGCTCTGTGCAGATCTTCCTGGAAAAATGAACTCAAAGATCTTACTTCAGATTTAGAAACTCAATTTTATAGGGAAAAGCAGAATTAAAAAAAAAGCAAGCTAGAAAGTACTCACCTCTTCACGTAATTTTATCAACTGCAACATGAATGCACAAAAAAAAGATAAAAAGAAAAGAAATGGCAGGAAAGAAAGATCAGTTGTGTGACAGGGTACAGAATTAACATTGACAATTTATCTGTTTACATGTTTAGCATTTAAAAATCACAGACAAACACATTAAAAGAACCTAAACATAGACTACATGCAGAGTTTTTGAACGAATAAAGATCACTTTCTCACACTGTCACATTAAACAAAGAGAATAGTGTGAAATTCTCTTTTAAAGTACATCTAAGACACCATCATGAAATAAAGGGGAATGACTTCATAGAAGTCTATATTATAAAGAAAGAAAACAAGTTTACTGTTCCTCTCTTCTAAGAATGTACCACTGAAAAGGTTTTGTATATACAAGTTTTCAGGATGTTTCTAGATTTTGAATCTTGACAACTGATTTCAGATTTTACCTACAAATGAAAATGATTAATAGTTCATGCTTTTGTCCCAATGAGTATTTAAAACAAAGTATTATGTTAGTGTCATACTTGTACTCACTCTAGTAAAAAAAATGCATTTGGAGATAACATTGTTTTAATTGAAAATAACGCATGCCAGAATAGATAATACTTAGGACATGGTATCAGAAAATATCTCACTACCCTTAGAAACACTGCATGTATTAGAGTTAACTTTCAGATGTTTGTTTTGCTTAAGAAGGCTACTGCAATCACATGGCGCTTTAAAAAATTTTTGATGTTTCTTGATTTTTCAATTTTCTTCCATTTTTTAAACTGGGCCACCTCAAAGCAATGAACTCTCCTACTTCATTTGTACTGCAGTTTGTTTTCACTAAAGTCAGACCCCAAACCTATCTTTACTTGTTAGTAAATCGTCCTGTGATAATATTTCAACTCTCTTCTGCAGAACATTTTCCTACTTGCCTTAAATATAACAGATGAAAGAAGCTGCTTAACTCTTTAGAGGCTAGAAAATGGACATAACCATTTGGCTCACTCTGTGTGTGGGTAGATGTGTATGTTTGACAATATTGTACACTACAGATACCACTGTATAATTGAGGAGATTGCTACAGTTTCTGCAATGAACGGAAGCTGAAACCTGTGTTGGAAGAGACTATAAACCACGTTCTAAGTCTGAAATGTGCAGCCTCAGCAATTCAGGGGTACAATTGATAAGTTTTAAACATCCAAAAATATCTCTAACATCTGTTATAACACTTGACATATGCAGGCCAATAGATTAAAGTATTGCTTTGGGAGAAACGTGCTATGAATTGCTCCCTGTAATTCTTCTCTCCAAAAGTATCATGTTTACTATAGCCCAGATTTCTCAATGCTTAATGCTGGTTTTGTCTCCAATTCAAAGAAGGCGGCAGGCATTCCAGCTTACTCCGTTATTTCATTTGTTATAGGAAAAGTATTTCAAGTACAAAAGAATGAGATTTCAAAATTGTTATGAATCTCATAAAATGGGTATAGAATCTATTACATAATGTCTCAGTGAAAATTAAACTTTTAACGTCGTCCTTTCAAAATATACAAGAAGTCATTATTTTTAATTAATACGCTCAGCAACCATCCAGTGGGTATGACGAAAGCCCCTCCTCGCTTCAATGTGGAAAGGTACTATTCTTCCCCAGAAGAGGTAAAATTTTTAAATGAAAATACCTGGCCTATCACATATCGGAATCTTTCTCTCTGCTCTCCGAACATCATGGGAAACAGGCAAACATTAATTCTCAGAAAGAGAAGATCTGGGAATGGATCGCTTAGCCCTCTCTCCTTTCTGGGGGCACCATTCATCACTTGACTATGATACTTAAAGGGCCAAAGTTTAAAACTACTCCTCTGCAATGGAGACCATTTGGGGCATGCCACCCTGCCATAATCAATGAGTGTTTAAAATGCTGCCCATTTGTTTCTTCAATAGGTTCCAAACAAAAAACGTTCTATCTTGTTTGTGCTGCATGGCTGCCTTCGAGCTCTACGCCGGATTTGTAGCTAAGCTAGGTAATGGGACGGGTTTTAATCTCTATCTTTTTTTTTTTTTTAAGGGCTGAGAGTTTTCATTCAAGTAAACAAAAGATGGTCTATATTGGAAAATTAGCAATGCTTAGACTAGACGGGAAGCAGTGATTTCTTATATCACCGAGTTACTAGCTCAGCATAGACGACGTGAAAGTGTGCCTGGCCACCACGTTGAGTTAAGATCACCAATATCTTTTTTGAAACAAAGAGGTGCTCACCATCGACCCCCCCCCCAATGCAGAATGTGATACAAGAGGTAATCTATTCCTTTGTGGGCTGAAAAAATCTGGTTTACGCTGGTTTGAACCAGTGGAATCTCTTGTGGCTAAGCCTTCTGCTGTGACTAAAATCAAACCTGCTCTGCGGAGCATGCGAGGGTCCATGCGCGCGCGCGCCTCGGTGTGGGCGGCGCGTCACGTGACCCCCACGGCTCCCGAATTTTTTTTTTACAGCTGATAACGCGACTGCCGTCTCTGTCCGCATACAGATAACGAATAAATGCTGAACTCTATTAAACGCCCTTTACACATTATCGTGGGTCGAACACACAATTTTCTGAACTTATGATGACAGTCTATTTATTTTGCTATAAACCCTCAGCACGTAACGAACAGATTTGTGCCTGGTAATGATCTGCTCTGCCAGGGCTATATGAAATGATACCGACCTCCTTTAGATCTTGGGGAATTAAATTGACCGACTTCACCCCCTGGTCTGTGGCTGAAGTTTGACACACTTTATGCACAGCAAGCTCAAATGGGAACTTAGGAGAACCTCGTATTAAAAAAATTAAGCAATGCTATCTGCTAAATATTGCTTTACCACAAAAATTTTGGCACGTTTACAAATATCCTACTCTTTATATATCTCTCTTTGAACCCTCTATCTAGGATTTACTCAAATCGCATTTACTCAGGTTTATTCACTGATCAATATAATTTTACATATGGAAACTGAGAGACTATTACCGTTCAAAGGTATTGCTTGGGACATTTTATTGGCCTCATTGTGATACTTCACTGTGAAGGGGATTTAATTCTACAATATGTACTTTTTTCCTTTTCTGAGAATGGGTTTCATGAAACTAAATCAAGTTAACAGCTATTAAGGTTTCCACTCTGAATACAGCATCTCTACATATAAAAATCTCAACTCTCTCAAGAACTAAATTGTTGCTATGTGGAATAGGAAGTATGATATTTTAAAAGAATAGAATGATAATTAATGCCTAAGACAACAATCCTTGGAAAGCTGATGACCCAACAATAGTACTCAGACATGCAAAGTAGGTAATTTTGTCCCCTCTTTGTAAATCAGGGATGAACTCTATTTGATTGTATGGAATGGATATGAATCAGAAATAAGTTTATACAAAGCAATTAATTTGAAATTACATGAAATTATGTACTATATGAGGGACATTAAAGATGCAGTTGAACAATTCTTAGTATTTGAAATCTTAACATTTCTAATCATGGTGGAAACATTTATATATAAGAGTAAATTAATATGCTCTATAGTTAATTGGAAGATTATAATTATGTGTATAAACAGCCAGGTTTTAGTGCCTTAAAACAAAGACATTATAAATGGCCAGAATGAGAAGTAATAGCTATAGCATACACATTTGTCTAAACCACCACAAAAAAGCCAGTCTAGGGAGGTTGTGTATATTGCATCAAAATTAACTAAACAGTACCTGGTTTATATTACCTATTTATAACCATTGTTATGGATTCTTTGTCATTTTCATTTTCTGACCTATAATTTTAAACATATTGAGCTATATCCCAACTTCAATGAAACAAATATTGCTATTTTTGTCTCAATTTGTTTATATTCAAGTGTTCTCTGTATACTAAAAGTTTATGATAAGCCACTAAGTTCTGAAAATCAATTTATCAATAATTAACTTGAAAATAAACTTATTTGTGGGCAGAAAATACTTTCTTACATAAATTACATGTAAGTCGACTCAGAAAAAAAACTATCTTCTTTGCCACTCCGCTGCAAAAACTAATATGAAGAGCCAACTTAAGGCCCTTTCTTCCTTTAAAGAAAGGGCTCTGTTTTAATTCCGTAGTCTGAATGGTTGCTGATGCAGAATAAAGGGTTATCCTCAAGTGACCATTCCTGTTTAAGGATGTTTTAGTTTGAGGGATTTTAATTCCTGTACTATGATAAAAAAAAACAAACCCTAAAAACAAAATTTAATATCTTCATTATGATATGGAAATTTTTCTACAAGTGGTAACTCAATACCCAAAGAGTTAAGTGTGGTTTCTTTGAACTTTCAAGCCTCATTCAAATTTTCGAATGAAAAGTTCACGTAGGTAATAATCTAATAGTTACATACCCATGACTATCATTTATCATGCTGTTTATTGAAGTGACAGCTTCTTACAACTAAACTTCAGGTTCTCCAAGCACTTTCAGAATTTCTAAGTTTGACTTATACCAATCCATGGGAAATCTCTGTGTTATCACTTGAAAGGGACAGGGATATAATTAGAAAAATTCAGAAAATATGAACTCAGTCTATTTTTGTGGAATACTTTTTTTTTAGGCATAAAAAGATCATACCTATATATAAGTAAGACAAATGTTTCAGGCACATAAATGTCCATTAAGAGATGTGAATGTGGTTTAAAAAAGTGTGTGGGTGGGGGTCCCTGTCACAGTGCTGCACCGCCCATCACAATAGAGGTGCCTGGTTAGCCAGGAACACCCCCTTCCTGTGCGTTTCCTCTGTATCAGGCAGTCATTGATCTGAAATGAGCGAACGATCTATAGCTTTTTCAAGGACTGACATGGGAACTACACATTCTGTTTTTTGTTTAAAAAAAAAAGATAATGCTCTTTTTTTGGAGTAAAGAGAGGAAATAAAATTATGATTCATTCATTCAAGAGGTATGAGCAACCTAAATCTCACTTAAAATAGGAAGAAAATATTTTTTCTCTCATCCTTACATTATTTAATCTATTATGAGTGAGACCCCTTTATCACATCACCCTTTTCTGTTTGATGTGCTCCATATACTTTTTTTTCTCCCTTAGCTGTTCTCACATTTCAGTCAGGAGACCTGAAATCCCCAAGTCGGATCTTGAAGTGTGTACATGTCTGAACTTAGGATGATAACATCCCAACAGTGGAGAAGGTGAGACTTTCCAAAAACAAACATAATGAGCTCATGACTCTTCTCCCTTTTTTGTGGGGAGTGGGGGGGGGATAGGGGACTTAATCATATAAGCAACACCCCTGTTTTATATTATTATAGTAGATAGTAACATATTTTTAGCATATACAGACCTATAATTTGTTTGAAATCATAAATACAATTATGCAATTTGCACAATGTATATCAATATATCATTATGTTTTATAATCTTAGTAAAATTTTGGTTTACTCCATGGATGATTTATTTCATTTAGGCAGAATAGAGACCATAATACCTGCTAAAGTAAAATTAATAAACAGGTGCAGGTCTTGCTTCTGAAGTCCTCTAGCTCTAAAAGTGTCAAAGAGAACCAGCCACTAGGGTTGAGACATTTTAAAAATCATCTCTGCATGGACTTTCCAGAAACAATTTTTCAGAAGTCCTACATATTAGCTATATGAATTGATTAAACCTGCAGTATTAACTCAAAGAAAAAAGTGGGACGCAGACTCCTGACACTACTGTGTGCCTCAGTGAGACCTGACAGCCAAGTTCTAAGGCCCTTTGAAGAAGAAACCGTACCCTATTTTTTGTTTATGCAGATCTTAAATTGCAAGACAACTTTCCCATTATTATTATTATTATTATTATTATTATTATTATCAGGCAGAGGCAGAACTCATCTATGAGTATCCCAGCTCCACACTGGCAAGTACGATTTGCATTTCACTGAATGTATTTTTAAGAAGCTCCACAATAGGAGGCTGAGCTGCCCTGTTGAATTTTGAAAGCTTACTTTCATTTGTTTTGCTGCAAGTGTTGATTTAATTATACTGCATTATTATCAAAGCTGCATTGTGTACTTTTTTATTCCTTTTACATGTGTTTGAGGTGAAGACCTTGGCTCTGTCTGCAAACAGTGTGTTTCAAGCTATTCCTTAAGTACTAAATAATAAAGAAAAGAGAAAAAAAGATTTTTTTTTTAAAGATAGCAGACAGTGATCCCAAGGTAAAGGGTTAAATGTAAGATCTCCAAGAAACATTTTGAAGTTGATTAAGACTCCAGCTTTGCATTAAACAGTATCACTTCCACATGAGTTGCTGCTAATACTGGGAAGGAGCAGCTTGGGAGCCCAGTGTGCCCGTGACCTCCTTCACCCTCCAGCCACCCACCGGGCCTTCCTGATTAGCATGCTACCTGGTTCTCCGAGGAATTCCCATCATCCCCTAGGAGCTCATTGCGTACTTCGTCACTGTAGGCGATCCGTGACCTTTTCTATAAAACAAAACAAAAAGGGAGAGAGCGAGATGAACGTTAGGAAGTACAGGCTTCGAAGCATTGTTGGTATCAAGGCTGATCATCTCAAACCTCGAGAGCCCCCTAATGGAAAACTGTTCGCTACAATCTGCAAACCCAAGTTGTGTAGAGTTCTTGAACTTGAGAAGTTTAATGTACATTAGAAGGTTTTCAAATACCAATAATGAAAGAAAACTCTGCACTGTGTAAGTACTCCATTAATATTCAAAATGGATCAGAAGTGGTATATTATTCCATATGTAGTCATTCAAGTGAGAACACTAAACCAAAGGAAATACAGCTCCCTCGCTGTGTATCTGCAAAACTCACCAGACTGTAATTACGAGTATGTGGGGTTCTTTAATACTGTGGCAGGAAATCCATTTTACAATATAGCTCTTTTGAAATCTCTAATGCTAGGATAATATTGTATCTGCATACATACACTGGAATGCCTGAAAAATTGTTTATCTATATTTCATTATTGTGATGTTACTAACCAAAAAGAGATGAAACTTAAAAGCCCAACCCACTTCCAAACAATGATTTAAATGTCTCTAGGTCCTCTATAAATAATGGCCTGAGGACAAGTATGGGAGTATGTTGTGTGCATGCATGCGCATGCCTGGTAAAACAAATTAAATTCCACAGTCCTTGTAAATAAAAGCAAGGAGGCTATGAGTCAACTTTTCATAATCCCAGTAAATAAAGACAAGTGGGCTGAGTCAACATTTCGCACGGTGAAATTCTGTTTTACAAGAAGTCTACCTTTACCTGCAAAGTCAGAGGGACATGTCTGCAAGCAATTCCTGACCTATCTGAACTGTACACATTTGGAAAAGCTAAAAGGCTCCGAAGATTAGTTGTGAAGCTGCAGTGCAGTCCTGAGATGCTACTTTGGCATCACTATGTCAGACCCAAATTCAGATTTATAGGCTACTCTGTTGCCTTTTCTGCTTCTGAACTAACTAAGCAAAACAGTTGATTTAAACATGGCAGTCAGAAAATGGTAATCTTTTTCTCACTTGGGGTCTACAATTCTCTACTTAAAATTTCTTACCTGTCCAATGGTTATTGGAAAAATGATTGCAATTTAAAAGGACTATCCATAATCCATGATCAGAAGTCAACAAGAATTTTAATTAGATTTCTAAAGTAATAAATGATTAACACTGCTTTGTCACACAGAGATCATAATATCTGAAACACAAAATCATCTTATACTAGAATTCAAAAGGACTTTGAACAAGAAAAACCAATAGATTTTAAATCATGTTAAAGTAGCTGCTTTTCTCAATTGGGGTTCTTATTTGAACCACAAAACACAGAAAATTATTTCGGTAACTATTTTCTCAATTCTCCCAAGAATGGTACATAAAAGAGAATTTAATTTATTACATAGAACAGAAGCCTTAGGGCATTAGGGCTTACCTCTCCGGCAGAACCCAGTTGAAAAGGGCTAAATGGAGTATAAATAAAAATAAATAAACCTAGATACCCTTTTAAGTTTTAGGAAAAAAAAAAAGCCAGTCTCATGGAGTTCTAAAGGTAGCTTTGGTTAAGCTGGGGTTCTGACTCACTGGTCAGTGCTCATTCTATCACACAAAATTCTCTCACCACTTTATTATCCTCTGGACACTCAGGAAAAAGATACAACAAAAATGCAAAACGTTTCAGTATAAAGGAGACGATGGCATACCATTCCTGCCCTGAGTCTGTACCCTGCCCAGGGTTGCGTCCCCTGCTACAAACGCGTATCTTATACCTTGGCAAATGCAGTAGGTCTGTATGTAGATAAATAAAACCAGTCGTGTTGCAGAGAGCACAAAGTAGAAAAGTTAAGTCATTAGCCTGATGTCAGCAATGGCATTTCTATCAGAGGTCTCACCAGTTCAGGAGTGACCCAATTCATTCACTCGTGAACAGGATAGACGTCTTACCACCACAAACAGCACGTTAATTAAGTCTGCTTTTCTTACGGTATTTATTCAAGCTGCTATTAATTAGATATTTCTATTAACTTCATACAGAACTGTACTAAAAAATGCTAAGTTACAAGGACAGTACACTTCATGGCCCTACTGCAATATTTAGATCCAGCCAAACCTTTATTTTGCCCATGTGGAGATTCCCACTACAGTAATTCCAAACTAGCTAAGCAAAGTATTTTACAGCATTAAAGGAAATGAGAACCTTTAAACAGGCCGTGGTATCAGAGCTGCCTTTTTAATTATTCATTTCATCACTATGGGGGACTAAAACGTTCCACAGTATGCAAGAATATCATATGGAGAGTGTTTTTGTTTTTCCCTTTTTTCACCAAAATACCAACAAACTGGCATAGATTGTTCAATTACATTATATTCTTATTTTCATGTACTATACTTCAAAAGAAGGAGAAAATTACAAGCATGTATCCCTAAATATCTTATCTTGTTTTGAAAACCAGCAATTAAGAGTGGACGTGCTCAGCAACAGGAAGCCTAAGGATTTATCCACAGTTGAAGGGTGGTCCCTATAAATGTCATTTTTTACCATCGGGATGGTAAAAACTGGTCATTTGGATCGTTTTCTGGATGTAATTAAGCAAATGATAGGTTCAGTTTACAGAATGCTCCCTGATAGGACTGACTTCTGTTGAAGAGTGAAAAGATAACTCATTTCAAATACCAGAAATAGTCCATCACGAAAATGATACAATCAACGCTGGAAACTGAACTCTTTACACTTGAGTATCATCTTACAAAAATGTTTAAGTGTCAAGACTTTGTTTTATTAAGAATTATATTTAAGTGTCTGACATTGGTATTTTCTCCTGACTTTTTACAGTTTGAATTTTTAAATTAAGTATGATTGCAATCAACCATAATTTAGCCTGCAGTGTCATCATTAAACTAATTGGATACCAAAAAAGGGAAATTCCTTTGAGGGGAAAAACCCCACTTATTTTATGGATGATTTTCCTCCAAAAATCAATAAGTTATTTCACCTTTTACAAAACTTTTAAAACCCTCCTTCTACATTACCAAGTAGTATGCCATATTTTAATTTGGAAGATTCAAAGTTAATGAAACTGGAACATCTCCTGTATCTTGATAAACTAACTAAAATAATTTTACTTTCTTATCAACTGTATAAAATCTGTACTTTAGCCAAATGCAAGCATGAGGATTTGAGCTGGAAATGTCACACACTCAGCTACAGTTTGAAGGAACCCAATTCATAATGCATTTTATAAATAGTTAATGACTTCTATACATAAGCTAACCAGGCAAATCAAGAAATTGTCAACATTTTTAGTCTTAGTTGTCAGTTACCACCGTCTACTGGTGCTTTATATGTGGCTTCTGGAGAAGACAGAAGCTCTGTGCGGTTTGTAATCTATTGTAATTTGGAGTCTGTACCATAAGGACGGAAAAGCTTCAGCTGACAATATTTGCCACACACACACACACACACACACACACACACACACACACAACGTTAAATACAGCAGCATTTCTCACTTTTAGTTGTGTTTGTGTAAAACTTATTCCTTTTAACTAACACACTTAGGTGAACTAGACACATTGGGCAGAAAAATCTACAGACCTTATATAAACTATAAAAAAAATAGGACATTAGCAAGTTATTGTTGTCCCTAGGAAGTTCGATGCCCTAAGTTCCAATGGCTATTTCAAACTGATGACAAAAGTGAGTCCCTCGTTATAAAAGTGAGAATTTCAGATTCCAAGCAGTTTTCACTTGGTCTACGAACAGACCTTTTGCATACTGAGTGGCTGATTTTCTCAAAGCCAAGTTCAAACAGATACCCTTGCTCAGTTCTATCTGGCAATTTGGCTTAAAACTATCTACTTGACCCAAGCCTTAACATTTCCCAACTGAACTGAATATATTCCTGGACAAGCACTGCTAAACTACTGTAGAAACAAAATGAATTAACTTAGCTTAAACTAATTAAGAACTGTGATCTGTGATCCTGCTCCCGTATGTTTCTACGTGTGAAACAGGGTATACATAACCAGAATGAGGATTCCACAGCCCACCACTAGCATAAGCATAACAATGAAGTTGGTTTATTACTAAAGCGTATATGAGAATTTAATTTCCAAGGAGTGCACATGGCAAAGCAATTGCTTAAATTGCCTCACCTGGGAATTTAATACAATGTTATCATCAGACCAGCCACATTGTAAATAGATTTATAATGCTTTCCATGTGCTGCACTCTGTTGCATATGAATTAAGTAATGATCTGGTATTACAATAAAATCAGCTAGTTCCCACACCTGGCAGACAGGATATTTCACTAAATTAATACCCATACAGCTACATCACAAGGCATGGGAGCGGAAACCATCTCCAAGGCATTCGGCCTGAGTTTTCCATGGGAGGCAAGCGCTCCGCGCTTATGTACAATGTCACTGTGTTGAATGGGCTGCTCAAGACAATCTGTTTCTAACATCTGTATCGCAGAATTAAGACTTTCTCATTCCCATTCAATTTTGGCCTAATTTTCTTCATTCAGGACCTTAATTACTAATCAGCAATCCACAATGTTCACAAACACTAAGAAAGGCCTTTATTCTAATCTGTGTGCTGCAGACAGCCAAATAATTGATAGAAAGTGCAGTATGGTTTTGGTAAGTAATGAAAGAACAGCTTGTCCTACTTCCTAATCAAATTGGTCTATAGAAGAACTGGTTAACAGATTTCTCCATAGGTCTAAAACAAATTACCCAGTCTGGCCAGACTTTTCCATTCCTTCTACCATTTCTTTCAGTCTCCATATATTTAATAATGCTCAAGGTTACCAGGTGATACATCTATTAAAAACTGTTATGCTTTCATAGCCAAAGAATTTAACTGCTCTAAAGAATTTAACTGCTCCTGTTATAATTAACACTTTGGGATATCTACAGAATACCGTGGAATTATATTTATTGGATAGTATTATAATTTCTGGCATTTACTTATTAC